TGAGGAAAGTGTGCTGAGAAGATGGAAGGAATACTTTGAGGAGTTGTTGAATGAGGAAAATGAAAGGGAAAGTAGAAACGAGGAACCAGAAACTATTAGGAAGAAGGTAGATCAGGTTAGAAAGGATGAAGTTAGAAAAGCCCTGAAGAGGATGAAGAGTGGAAAGTTAGTTGGCCCTGATGACATACCAGTGGAAGTATGGAAGTGTTTAGGAGAAGTGGAGGTAGATTTCCTGACTGGGTTGTTTAACAGAATTTTAGAAACTGACAAGATGCCTGATGAGTGGAGGAAAAGTGTTCTGGTGCCAATTCATAAGAAGGGTGATGTACAGAGTTGTAACAACTACAGAGGAATAAAGTTGATGAGCCATACAATGAATGTAGAATTCCTGCACTTGTTTTTATTTTAGCCTACTTGATATGTTGAAAATACTTTATATTCACAAGCTTCCCGTATTAGGTTTATTGCTTTCTTAAAATGTTTTTCTTCCATAGGCCTTCTTAATGAGCTTCTTAATGTTATGAGCCTGTCATTATGTGATTGACAGGCTCACATACAGTACATTATGTATGCAGGCAGAAATCACCGTGGACTACAATGTTTGCATGCGACATTGTATTCTGTAGGAAGAGAATGCTGTACAGAGGATAACCATGAGTATGGATCTCAACACTGAGTGGATAAATAAATGTTAAAAAAAAACGAATACCAACATTTTATAAAACACGTAATGCCTATGTTCAGCTTTCCAATTCATTCATATAGTGAAGAAAAATCACTTGTGCTGTAGAAAAATGAAATACATACAGTATATGGCCATGCAATTTATCCGATAGTTCGACTATGGACCCTTTAATTTCAAAAATTGCTACAAAATCAAGACACGTTCACTGAAATCGGAGCACGAAGAAACCAGTGGTCCAAACTAACACGTCTTTCTTTTACAAATAAAAGGAATTGTGTTTTTATAAAATAAAATTCAATTAAATCAAGTATATGAGAAAATGTATATGTGCTATATACTGCTATAATGCTGTATTCACCGCAACCTGGTATCCTACAAACATTTAGATTTTAGAATAATACATTTTCGAATGTACACAAAGGCAGCACGATGCAGAAAAAGCTCGGAAGGCTGGCGGGCGCCATATTTAATACACCAGATGCTAAGTAGCGCTTAGCTGTTTACAAGCTCAAACTTTTACCTTGAAACGATCAGACGTTAACGTGAAATCAAAAATGAATGTAATCGACCACGTACGGGACATGGCTGCTGCAGGACTCCACTCAAATGTTCGGGTACTGAGCAGTTTGCTGCTGACGATGAGTAACAACAATCCGTAAGTCTTGTCAACGCGGGGTCCGTCTATTTTCTGAAGAGTTCGTTCCTTTCACGGAATGTAACGTTTACATTTGTAACTAGCTGGTTTACAACAGACGATTAAAGATTATTTTAATGTCAAGCAAACATTACACATAGTGATATTATTTGGATGTCTTGTCTAGGGGTGTTTGGAGCGGTGTACGTTATGTTGTACATTTTAGTCGTGACTTTTGTTAGCTACACGTTTGAACGAAGCAACGGACGGGAGACTCGGTGTTGGTTGTATTAAAGAAAAAAAATAAATGTAATGGTAAATAATATTGGAGTCGGGCTGGCACACACTGCTGTGGTGGACGCTCCTTTTACACCGAACGTTGATATCCAAATCTGTTATCGGTGACTCGGGTTGAGACAAGCAGCTTTAGAGAAAATTATATAAATAAAACATATTTAATTATAATTACTAATTTTAATCCTATTCTCACATCTCTCCCAGTCCCATTATTAACCACCAGCATTTTATAACAATACATGTTTCCACCTTATGTTAATTGTATTATAGTCCTGTTTTACGACGTGTCGTACGACCACTATTTCTTGTTTTTCAACATCAGGGAGTTGTTCTCTCCAGCTCAGAAGTACCAGCTGTTGGTTTACCACGCTGATGCCATCTTCCACGACAAAGAATATCGCAACGCTGCCTGCAAATACAGTATGGCACTACAACAGAAAAAAGTGCTCAGTAAAACATCTAAAGTTCGTACTTCTACCGGTGGAGCAGCATCTAACATTCAAGCACAGGTGCGTTTTTGCACATCTTTGACTCAGCGTCGAGAACTTTGGTGAAGAGTCTGCTCGACAGACAGTCATCTAATCTGGAATAATACGATTGTTGTCTTTCAGAATTTGCCATCAGAAATTGAGGTCAAATACAAGATAGCTGAATGCTACACCATCTTAAAATTGGAGAAAGATGCCATTGCTGTGCTCGATGGGATTCCATCCAGACAGAGGACTCCAAAAGTAAACTACTGCTCTTATGTTGCTATTAAAGTTAATGGTATTTAAAATGTATAAATAACGCCATCGTTCTCACTTGCTTTAGATCAACATGATGTTAGCTAACCTCTACAGGAAAGCTGGTCAGGAGCGTTCTGCTGTGACCAGTTATAAAGAGGTTCTCAGACAGTGTCCACTTGCCCTGGACGCCATCATTGGTAGGAATGATCACATTAACCAAATAATAATAAACCGTTGAGAGTAGTACAATCCATCTGCTGTTCTCTGAAAATTGAAGCTTAAAATTGCATCATTTTCTGTTTGTTTGATGGGCTAAAGATTAAATGTATGTTTTATTATTGCCAGGTCTCCTGTCTCTGTCGGTCAGAGGAGCTGAAGTGGCGTCCATGACGCTGGATGTGATCCAGAGCATCCCTAACCTGGACTGGCTCTCTGTTTGGATCAAAGCTTATGCCTTTATACACACAGGAGACAATCATAGAGCCATCAACACTATTTGGTGAGAACAAGGTCTTGGTTTTAAAGGGAGAAAAAAACGTCAGTGTTGGTGCTTTATATAAAGTCTCCATTCCTCTCTCATTTTGTCTCAGCTCTTTGGAGAAGAAGTCTCTCCTGCGGGACAATGTTGACCTGCTGGTGAGCCTGGCAGACGTGTACTTCAGAGCAGGGGACACAAAAAATGCCACCCTCAAGTTTGAGCAAGCTCAGATGCTGGATCCATACCTTATCAAGGGTATGTTTTTCTATTAATGTTCTTTATTTTTATGCACTTTGTATTAATGTTCTTAAAGTATTTTGAATAAACAACTGTTTGTACCTGCAGGTATGGATGTCTATGGTTACCTAATGGCACGTGAAGGACACCTGGAGGACGTGGAGGTACTAGGAGGACGATTATTTAATATTTCAGACCAACATGCAGAACCTTGGGTGATCTCTGGGTGAGTTAAGAGCTTTAAGGTCTTTTTTCTATTTAAATGTAATAGTTTGTTAATACAGCCATGAAATGTAAATTTCTTATTCTCCTTTTTTCATTGTTTTCCTGCAGTTGTCACAGTTTCTATAGCAAGCGTTACTCCAGAGCTCTGTACCTGGGAGCCAAGGCCATCCAGCTGAATAGCAACAGTGTGCAAGCTCTCCTTCTCAAGGGGGCAGCCCTGAGAAACATGGGCCGTGTTCAAGAAGCTATCATCCATTTCAGAGAGGCCATGCGTTTGGCACCGTGTCGACTGGACTGCTATGAAGGTACGTTTTCAAGCAGGCGGTAACGATCATTCCTGGTTGTTTCATGTTGACTGGCATTCTTTATATTTTTAGGCCTTATCGACTGTTACTTGGCATCCAATGGGATTCGAGAAGCCATGGGAATGGCTAACAACATCTATAAGACTCTGGGGGCCAATGCACAGACTCTGACCATCTTAGCCACAGTCTGCCTGGAAGATCCTGTGACACAGGAGAAAGCAAAGTCCCTGCTGGACAGAGCTCTGGCCCAGAGACCGGACTACACCAAGGCGGTGGTCAAAAAGGCTGAGCTGCTGAGTATGCACCACTATTGGAAGCTCCATGACATGATTGAGACATTCAAGATCTTTTTTTTTTAAAAATTATCAAATGTTTAAAATACACATTAAAAAAAAGTTTTTCTGGGTTTTTTTCAAGGCCGAGAACAGAAGTATGAAGAAGGAATTGCTCTCCTCAGGAATGCGCTGGCCAATCAGAGTGACTGTGTCCTGCACAGAATGCTGGGAGATTTTCTGGTGGCTGTCAACGATTACCAAGAAGCCATGGATCAGTACAGCATAGCTCTGAGGTGAGGTGGAAATGAAAGCATTAATCCAATTAGATGGCTGCAGAATTAAGCTGTACTGTATTGTTTATCCCTAACATTATGATTAAGCCGATAAATCAGATAAAAGATTCCAATCATTTGACAGCCCTGATTATGATAGATATTCAAGTGACTCTGAACACGATTGTGCTTTTTGTCTGGATTTTTGCATTGAGGTCAGTCTTCTTTGTAACCGTGTGCTTCTTTTTGTCCCATATTAAGTCTGGATCCCAATGACCAGAAGTCGTTAGAAGGCATGCAGAAGATGGAGAAAGAAGAGAGTCCCACAGACGCCACCGTGGAGCTGGATGGCGATGACATGGAAGGCAGCGGGGAGGACGGAGATCTGGAGGGCAGCGACAGTGAAGCTGCGCCGTGGGCTGATCAAGAACAGTGGTTTGGTATGCAGTGACCCAGGGTCACTGAGGGACGCTCTGTCAGTACCATCTTTTAACGCCCTGCAGCCACCTGGTGGCATCACACATAGCTACATTAATCATCCTCAGGGATGGCTCCGTGTGACAGATGAGCCTTTGTTAGCTGCAGAGCCACAGGAAGGAGTTGATGTTTAAAGGGGAAGTGCAACCTCAGGGGAGGAGTTAAGACATTTCTGAATTTAATGTCATTTCGTCCCATGTTGCTCTGGTTATTTCAACCTCTAACCCTCCTACTGTTTACTGTGAGGTTTTCACGATGTCTTCACGACATCAGCATTAACTATTGCAGAACCTGAGCAAGTCCCTTCAAGATGATGTAACGTGACGTTAAGCTAACAGTTGCACTTCATCATTGCTGCCTTTTACCCATGGACTGATGTGCTTTAAAACGCTCCCTGTTAGACTACACAGTAGTTTGTGTTAGACAACCTTCTCAAAAACCTTTCATTGCTGGGTTTTTTTGTTTGTTTGTTTGTTTTTTGCACAATAAGTGACAGGTCAAGTTAAGAGCTAACGAGTCTACTTATTTTATGAATTTGTGAGTTGATGTGACTTGTCAATGAGTGTTAAAAAAAAAACCCACCAGAGTAAAAGTTGTGTTCAAATTATAGATGGTTTCAAATCCCTGCAACTAGTAATCATCAGTAAGATGCAAGAGATGAATCATCCCCCAACTGTGGTTTCATCATAGTTCTTGCCATATTAACTTTTACATTTTACCGCGGACATGTTTTTTTATTCTTCATTTTTCATAATCTGCATTTCTGTGTGAAATAACTTCAGTGTTACTTTAACAGACTGTTTATAGTGTTTTGTATATATTTGTAAAATAAAAATATTAGACATTAACTTTATATGAATGCAAATGTGTGTGTGGTCATAAAGACAGCTAACAGAATACAGGAGTACTACAGACGTACTGACTGTCCTTGGCTGAATATAGTGCAGTGCTTCACTTTGGTCTGGAAATAGTCTGAAAATCCACAACATTATAATTATGTCACATGATTACTCAACAAAAATCACAAACTAACACCCACAACCTGACTCAGTGTTCTGTAACACTAAAAACATGTGTGTATATACATTTTATATATATATATATATATACACATATAAAAATGTTGCGTCATTTAATTTAACGGTGTCATTCCGTACAGATATGGAGTGGATTCTAGCTAAAACAATCTTCACAGATGAAATGAAGATAAACAAGGCTGTACATGTCCACAGAACAGGTTTTCTAACTGTGTTAGCAACCCTGTGTAACCCCTGCATAGAATCAACTCAGTAAACTCATAATAACTTAGGACAGTTTTATTTACCTGAAACCAAAGTTCATGATACATCTTACAATCATCTCAGAAAATACAGTACAGCAGTTTGGCAACAAATGCCAAATGGAGGGACTGCCTGCCGTTGTCAGGTTAAAACACACGCACCGCTGCAAAAAATACATCTGCTCCAAACAAGTCGCACCTCTCAGTGCAAAGCAAAACAAAAGGAAAAAAAATCTGGTTTTGAATGTCCCATAAAAGTATTTCCTTAGGAAAAATGAACTGCGTTGAGCTTATTAAACATTTGTACTAGCTGATGTAACGTCATTTAATCCTATATACCAATACTATACATTTGTCTAATACACAATCAGGAAACACAGGTGGCTTCTGCTGCTGAGTGGACATGCACAATCAAAAAAAGGATTATTGTACACAGTACTGTACACAGGACTAAGATTGTAGTCTAAAAGAATGAGACCTGGATCAGAATCTAAGGCTCTTCATGCAGGAGAGTAGAGGGAGTCATGGGAGTGGAAATGGCTAACCTTATATCAAACTTTGAGGATTTTGAGGGAAAAAAAAAACTGATGTAGAAACCTTTCGCGGGCCCCTCATCTCCGTACGTTATCACTGACATGCAGCTCCTCTAAGATGTGTGGCCCAAAAACAAACATGCACAACACAAAACAAAACCAAAGTAAAGTTCTGGAAGTAAATGACAGTAGAGGTGCGCCTTTACTTGTCCTTTGCTGCAAAGAAGAAGAGGAGAGAGGAAGAGTGAAAAGAGTGAGTGATGACTGTGCCACCGTGCAAATCTAAGCAGAAACATCAGAGCAAATTCATAGGTACTTGGTATTTTTAGACTGATGAAGGCCATATGATGGACAAGATCAATTCATAGTCCATATAAAATACATCTAATGGAAGAATAACAGCATATCCTGTCAATATACAAACATTTAGAGCTAATGTGGAGAACAAATTCTCACCCTAGGCCCGGGTTTAAATCCAGATTTTTCCGAATCATCCCTCAGTAAGAATGACTCACAGTAGCTTTAAACGAGGTTCACAATCTACAATCAATATCCAGAAGCAGTCGCTCTGCACTAACTTAGAATTCTTACTCTATTTCAGAAAAATATATTTACTTGTATGCATTTTCTCAGTGAACCTTCACAGTTCAACGATTTTTGTCAATCATCACAGTCACAGCTAACATTTTAAATGAAGTCATTCCAACTTGACATTAAATTAAAAACACTAGGTGTTTTTTTTTTTAGTGTGTCCAGAAGTTTTAAGATAAATAGACAAACCTTTATGAAAGACATACCTCAAAGAAAATCTTATCAAACATCGACATTGTGTTGCCGCCTAGTGGTTCACTGCTGCTTAGTGTACTTTCACAACCAGTTAGCTGGAAGGTGTTGGAGGTCGGAAGCAGTGGATACAACTGATAGTAGAAACATGCAGGTCAACATGTACTTACTGTGCATGTAAGACTATATAATAATGTTAAACACACACAGTCCTGGATACTTGACATCAAACATGCAGATGATGGAATTGTGAGCACACCTGTCATTCACTTCCTAAACACCATCACTTACATCAGAAACAGATTTCTAATCTAAGTGATGTTCTCATGAAACTGAACTGACTGCTCTCCTCTTAAGTCCTCATTTCTGCTCCGTTGGGTTGGAATGACCTGCAGCGTAATTCAGCCATAATCAGCTGAAGTTCACTGACGGAGCAAACACACACCAGAGCTGTTTAAATGATAGCGAACATGGCAGTTGACAGGTTTTTACTAAATAAAGTTGTAACACAGAGTACTACCGCGTGCTGTGTACAGACAGACAGACCCTTTCACAGCTCCCAGCTTTACGTTGTGCTCAGGTTCTCTGTGCTTCTTTTCCTATTCAGATACAGTATGTGCACATTTTACATAAATTATAAACTTTACTTTAATATATATTTTCAAAAAAAAAATTAAGGTTCAACCTGGAGAAATGAAGACAAATATATTTTCAAGTAAACAAATCTGACGCAAGGCTGCAGGAATTAAAAAAGAAAAAGAAAAAAGCACCGACTCACAATGGTAACATCTTCTGGTTCTTTCCTCCCAGAACAGAGAAAGAAAATATATAATTAAAATGTGCGTCAGGGCAGAACCAGTGGGTTCCTACCTCAATTCAATGAATGTTATTAAATGACTAGACAGATGTGTAGCAATGGTTTTATTAACAGCCCTGAGGTAGCTGTGCTCTGCCTAATGCAGAAAATAAGGAATGCAAAGGACGCCTGCAGCTCAAACACAATAACAGGGGGCAGATATACTCAAGGCTCTGCCCCCCCCTTTCCAGAATTATTATACTTTTATACAACATGGTACCTCGCATCGTCTTCACAACCCAACAGCCCTCCCCATAAATTACAAAATATTATTAATTATAAAATAGTGTAAATTCTCTGTACAGCTCAACATGCAGCCCGGTCATGATGGGCAGCTCTGCAACTGTCAATCACATAGGGTGATAAGCAGGATGTTTAAATAAAAGTAAAAACCTACATCGTTACAGTACAATCTAAAATTCCCCCTCACAAATATGAAACGGTGAGAATGTTTAAATACAAAAATATCTGACAGCAGACAAAATGTCAGAGCAGGTGCAGGTGTGGACTCTACGTAGTTCTAAGTTAATGGAATGGTGTTACACAAATGTGTGTCTCTGTGCATGTTAATATCCACTACACACTGGTGCACGTGAGTGGGAGGGGGAACGGGATGGGGTAGATGTGGTTTTACTGGTCAGTCAGTCAGGGCCACAGCAGGGCAGACACATTAGCGTCAGTGATGTAGATCCACAGCACCAGTGGAAGGGAGACGGCCACAAACGGCCAGGAGATTCCCTTGGCACATGCAGACAGAGAGCTGCCTTTGGAGGACGGCTTCTCCAGCTGTTTACCAAAGTCGTGGTAGTTCCTGGCCAAAAACTTAAGCAGCTCATCCAGCAAGATGACAGGCACAGAGATCTTTATCACCATCAGCCACTGGGTCCAATCCAGAGGGGTGATCTGGAAAATGACCTGGGAGACAAACAGAGAGAGAAACTGAAAAGTCTACCTTAAATTATAAATCTAGACTTAACTTAAATATCTCACAGATAAGGTTAAGATCTCATGTGTTACATCTGACTTTTATACAGAATTAACTGCCCTAAAAAAATACAATTAAAGCTGAAGTTAATTTAAACCTCTTGGATATATAATTTTAAAAAAAATCACTGCCTAGTAGTCTGCAGAGTGATTTGGCACAATCTTCTACACCTGATGCCCTTTTTAGCTCAACTCAACCAAGGGTAAAGGTAGAGTCAAATGTGAAATAATCAGCAGACTATACCAATGTGCCTTTTGTCCATGGATACTTAATAATAGTCAAGTCTTTTAAAATTACATCTACAATGAGAAAAAATACAACAAAGGCTAATTTAGGCTGTTTAAATGCATTGGTTAATTTAAGTTTTAACTCCCCTAATCCTTTAGTAGTACACCCTTAGAACCAATAGAGGGCAGCAAGAGCTCCATTACTGCGAACACTTGGAGACAGCAGCTGATCCCTAGTGGCAGCTCTTTCAAAGATATTTAGCAGCATTTGGCAATAGTTTTTGGAGACAGTGCTTTGAAATGATGGCACTAATTTGCTGGCAGTAAAAAGTTGGCAGTTCCCCTTGAGAAATGTTCATTTAGGTCAAACCATTGTAAATTTCCAGAAATATGTATCTTCATGTAAATAGACAGAAATGACAGAAAGCACCATCAATATAAACAAACTGAGCCCTCACAGGTAGAGGTTCCACATAGAGGATGAGGAAGTGGAGGGACATGGAGAGACAGATGGCCCCCAGCAGCCAGATGTTCTCCCAGGGAGGCATCCGCAGCAGGGACTGGTTCTCTGACAGACTGAAGACCAGAGAGGAAAAACAAAGTTTTCAGTAACACTATTTTGTTAAAAGTCATTAAACAGAACACCGCACCTGATATGCTATTGTACTACACCTACAATCTGAGTGGCTGTTACCTGTTGAGAGCATTGCACATCTCAATGGTGACAAGCACAGACAAGGCCATGGTCATTGGGTAAGGTGACTCAAAGACTTCACAGTCCAGACCCTCAAACTCTGGGTTGTCTGGGGTACACTGGAGGAAGTGGCTCTGTGGGTTTAAAAAGACAGCAATGAAGAGGAGGAAGAGGAGGCCGAGCCAAATTCATGACAGGTAAACCAACCATCGGACGTTTGGACCTACCAGCTGGTACAGGCTGACCTGAGGACCATCTTCTGCAATAACAAACCACCAGGCAGCAGCTCCAACAGTAGCTGCGCCCACGTAGCCTGTGAAACAGAGAAGGCAGACTCAGGATGGGCGTTTATAATACCACAACGACACAGTACGTATCATAAAAAAATAAAAAAATAAAAATTAATGTTGTAAGGCTTAGGAAGAGGGAAGGAAACTAGCAACCCAAACACATACATGAACAGTACACTTTGAGTAAGATCACGATAAGAAAAGTGTTAGCACATGTTGATGTAAACTGTACGACAGTATAAACAATCAATGTATATAACCTCCGATGGCCAGATATCTGAAGAAAAGCCAGCCAGAGATGAGAGGTTCCTTGGCATTGCGTGGAGGCTTCTCCATGATGTCCAGATCTGGAGGGTTGAAGCCGAGGGCAGTGGCAGGAAGGCCATCAGTTACCAGGTTGACCCAGAGCAGCTGAACTGGGATCAGAGCCTCAGGGAAACCCAGTGCAGCAGTCAAGAAGATACTTTTAGGAGAAGAGACTCCAGTTAGTGAAATGCAAAACCTGTTTACTGGTTCAACTAGCTAAAGGCTAGTGATCCTCCGTCATCTGATGTTTAGGAGACCTACCAAACCACTTCTCCTACGTTGGAGGAGATGAGGTATCGGATGAACTGCTTCATGTTATTGTAAATAGCTCTGCCTTCTTCAACGGCGGCCACAATGGAAGAGAAGTTGTCATCAGCGAGGACCATCTCTGAGGCTGACTTGGCTACTGCAGTGCCAGAGCCCATGGCAATGCCAATCTCTGCCTTTTTGAGGGCAGGAGCATCATTCACTCCGTCCCCTGTCTGTAAGAAACAAAGGTCTTTGTTTTGGGTGCAACAATTCCCTTGTTGCGTAACCGAACAAAACTACAGCCTAAAAGACTGTCAAAGACAGAAATATTTAGGTATTAGACTGTGTAGATCCTAACATTAGCTGTCGCTATATTATACATTTCACAATATATTTGTGAAGAGGGAACTATAAAAGCCAAGCTATTTCCAATAAAATGGTACAATGATTTTAATTTAGTAAAGAAACACAACAAAAATCTGCTCATAAGAGCTCATACCATGGCAGTGATCTCATCAAAACCTTGCAGGAACTCAACAATCTTGGACTTGTGCGAAGGCTCAACGCGGGCAAAACAGCGGGCACGTTTCACAGCGTCTAGCTGATCAGCCGGTGAGAGTTCATCAAACTCTCTTCCTGTGAAGGCCATGTGTTCGATGTCATCGTCCTCTGAGAGGATGCCGATGCGGCGGCAGATAGCCACAGCTGTGCCCTTGTTATCCCCGGTGATCATGATGACACGGATACCAGCCTGACGGCAGAGCTGGATAGAGGCGGCCACCTCCTGTCTTGGAGGGTCCAGCATTCCAACGCAACCGACAAAGGTCAAGTCAGTCTGGATGAAGGAAGAGGTAAATAACAGTTGTGGGATAAGCACAAAAAGTTCAACTACACACAGACATCAGAAAAAGAAATGGAAAAAAAAAAAACCCATTACCTCATATTCTATGAATTTGGCTGTGTCTGACAGAACCATATCCTCCATTTTTGGTGGGCTGTCTCGTGTGGCTAACGCCAGGCACCTCAATGTATCACGACCAGTACCGTATTCACGGATCACTGACATGATCTTTTCTTTGATACCTTTGGTGAGGGGAACTTTGGTGTTTCCAACTCTGACATAAGCGCATCTGTCAATAACTCCCTCTGGTGCTCCCTGTAGGTACAACACAGCATTTCAAATAAAACAAGAAGCACCCACAATAGCACACAGACAGACTTTTGAACCTAACAAGATCAAATCTTTTTTTAAGCATACCTTGATAAACATCTTTCCCATAGAGGAACGGGATTTGTTAGGTGTGCAATAGACCGACATGGACTTCCTGTCTCTGGAAAACTCCAGAGTGAACTCCTTCCTCATAAGCTGCTTGATCACCTGTTCAAACAAAGGAAAAAGTGGTACATTTGTGTGAAGGACAGAAAGAAGGAACTCACTGACTGTGAGCAGATTAGGGAACTGGCACCACTGACCGAGTTACAGGCATTAGCTCTGTCAATCTTGGACAGGTTATGAACTTCGGTGTCGAAAACATTCATCTTCTCCACCAGACAGGTCAAAGCAGTCTCTGTGGCCTCGCCGACCTTTTCATACACACCCTTCACCTAAGGTATGCAAATATTGTTGATTACACAACAGGAAAGATACACAACTAAAAAAAACAAAACTCCACCTTTAAATGAGTGGAATTAACAGATCAACAAGAATAAACCAACTCATATTCAACACAATACCTTCTTTGACATCAATCGTAGTAGTTAGTCAAATCCCTTTATGTTAAAGCTGAGCAATTCAATTATTTACTTGATGTTCAAATTGTAGGAGATTCAAAACAGCTTCCATCTGTTGCTGCTGCGATCACAGCCTCACCAGGGTTGGTGCAGTGATACATGAACACCACAGACTGTATCTGATAATTCTTATGTGAGAGAAACGTAAGTGTGGAAATTCAGACCTCATTGAAGTCCAAGGAGGAGTCGTTACATAGAGCACAGATGGTGGCCAGTTCAACCAGGGCGTCATACTGGGAGCTCCTGACTTGCTTACCGTCCTGGTATCTGAAATCAAACGCATACAATGTCAGTTCTCTTTAGAACTATGTGTTTGTGCTTCTAACACAAAATGAGTTTTTTTCCACAAATACTCACACTTCCCCCTCAGGGGCGTAGGTGGAGCCTGTGATGGTAAACTCTGACAGAGAGCAGTTGTCTCCATCAACCTTGTTCAGAACAAACATCTGAAAAATAAGACAGTAGATGTGACAAAACTGTTATGTCTACTTAGCGTCATACTCTAAACCAGCCACTAGTGACTTCTCTGACACAGCAGATGGTACCAGAAACCAGGGAAAATCTCAGGAGGCCTGTGACAACTGCTTTTGGAACAACAGAGATGCCTGCAGTTTTACAAAGTTTGTATCTCATAGTGATGGCTGGCCTGGGTGGCAAGCTGCCTAAAGTGTGAAAGGACTGTTTTTCAGCATAAGTAAACAGGGTAGACTGCCAAGGAGCTTGAGCACAGAGAGAAGTTGTGCCCAAAAGGAAGAGGCTGCAGTGCCAAGACTGCTTCCACAGAAAGCTTTGATCCATGGGTGAACGCAAGTGGGAGCAAACACACAAGACGCAGCCATTCATAAAAAAAATAGCACCTTTAAATAACATGCATTAATTTAAATTGTTTTGATGGAAATATTTAATTTAGTAATCAGTTGATTAGTATATGTAATAACACTGCGGACTATAAATTACAGCCATTGGCTCGGTCACGTTATATGTTGAATGCAAATATATAGTTAATGGTGTTTTCATAAAAAGTAGCATCTGTGTAGGGATGTGCAAATGTAGTGTAAAACTCTTGCCAGTCTGAGTGTAAATATTTTCCCTTTTATAGTTTACAGAAAAATGTAGTTATAGTAGGACTGGAATGTTGTTCAACCTCAACAATGACACATTAAATTTGTTTAAATTTGATTAAATTAAAAAATCCTCAATTGGAAAAATGTCAGTGCTTTCTTTAGATTATATTATTAGAAAGAATAATATCAACTTCTTTGGTTATGGAGATGACACCAAACAAGATTCTCTCTGCTGGCTCTCTATTGAATACACTTCAACATACGTCTCCTCACTTCATCAGATCACCTCATAACCAGGCACTATGGTATATTAAAGATACTGTATCATAACTCTCATATTTCCGAAGAACAAAAGAGTAGAACTGGAGGCGGAGCTTGTAGTTACCAGACTCGCCACCAGTGGAACCAGTTACAAATATGGGTTCAGGGGGGACAATCTCTCCATTTAAAGTTTGATAAAGGTTGTAGGCATGTCATGCCAACTGTAACTTAAACCAGACCTGACACTGCAGACCTGTGTATATTCAATAGTCTACATCAGCACAACTACTGTTTAAATCCAACAGCTTTAAACTTACAACAACAACAAAGTCACTTCCACAACTGTAAGGTCTGCATTTTAATACCTAGTCTTCCAGCACTCAGTATGTGGTGTTTGTGATCTGCTCTGTGTCTCTCTCCTCCCCTATTCACTTGTTTCTCTCCCCTTTTTGTCTCCTCCATTTTTCCCTTTTGGTCTTTGTCCAAGTAGACAGCAGAGCACTGAGTCTGGGTCTGCTGGAGACTTGACACACCTGTTTAATTGTCCAGTTCTAAAAGGTCGGTTTTTGTTACTTCAACAAATAATATACAAGCTTTTATAACGTACAGAAATTTGGTCTTAGTGTGACAAGTTTCACCAGCGTGCTACGTCAAGGCAGAGACAAAGAGAAAAAACAGGAACTGAAGACTGGCTGCTCTGCACTTTTGTGACGCAATGTCAGTTATGCAACTGCTGCATTACAAGTCCTTCAGCAGTTTGATGTAGACAAGAGGAGTGGCAGTGTGGTTATGTACCTGGATGTTTGATGGGATCATGATGGATATTTCACTCACTCACACTGTCTTTCTGCACTGCAGGCATTAGCATTTTAGCTGACAGATGTATTATGGGAGCTTAAATCTCTCTGACTGTCACCTTAAACAAACCACAGGCACCGACAGCAAAGACGACAGGGCACTTAGGGTGGTATCAAACATCTTAGTAGTCCATCAACAGTGCGTGTATGTGTTTGTGTGACTCACTCTGCAGACCGACATCTGGTTGGTGGTCAAGGTTCCCGTCTTGTCCGAGCAGATGACGGATGTACAGCCCAGGGTTTCTACAGATGGCAGGCTACGGACAATGGCGTTCTTCTTGGCCATGCGGCGAGTGCCCAAAGCCAGGCAGGTCGTGATGACGGCGGGAAGGCCCTCGGGGATGGCAGCCACAGCTAGAGCCACAGCGATCTTGAAGTAATAGACTGCACCTCTGATCCAGGATCCTCCATGCACTGGGTCGTTGAAGTGACCGATGTTGATGACCCACACAGCTATGCAGATGATGGAGATGACCTTGGACAACTGCTCGCCAAACTCATCCAACTTTTGCTGCAGGGGTGTCTTATCCTGCTCAGTGGCAGCCATCTCGTCTCGGATCTTGCCTATCTCAGTATTTACACCAGTGGCAACAACCACACCCACGGCCTTTCCAGATGCAATGTTAGTGCCCTAAAACAGCAGGTATGTACATGTTGGCTCAAGCACAACTGATGTTTAAAAAATGTAACATGTGACTTAAGGATGACAGGGATTAGAAACTTGAGTCGTGCTTACAGAGAAAAGCATGTTCTTTTTGTCCTGGTTGACAGCACGAGGGTCGGGCACAGGGTCTGTGTGTTTGATGACGGAGACAGATTCACCTACAACGAGGGACAAGGTGTCAAAGTTAAATCTATTTACAGATAACCCTGAAAACCAAGCATAGACAGGTTTACCAACAAAAGAGTTTCTTGGTGCTGAATATTGATACTGTTTCCCTCAGAGTGGAATAAACACTTCAGCTAACTGAGGTGATGTGACGCTTTCTTTGGCCCATTCTTCAGTCAGTCACATGCTTTAGTATTTTTTTTAAGGTAAACTGCATCCACTGCTGTATTTAGTTGTGACTACAGAAGCTCTCTACACCACGGTTCCACTTAACCACCCACACCCTTCTAAACACATACTCAAAACTTGTTTATTTGCTGCTTTTTATTTTCTTACAGTAGTAACTAGGAATAAAGGTTCTGAATGTGTCATATAAGTAGCTAGGCTCACAGTCTGCACTGGAACCCTCCTGTTTATTATCCAGTTCTTCAGGTTTGAATGTCTTAGATTACTGTGCTATCTAATATTCCCAAATCATTTTATTGTCTTGATCTAACAAATCAGTAGAGAGATATGCTATGTCATCACACTCTTAATGTCCTGTGTTGAAGAGGCTACGTGTCATGCTGGTATTTGAGTATCTTGATGGAAACAATGAGGAGCCTTATCTGTTGCCTTTTATAAGTGACTGCCTCCTTGGTGGTGCTAGCCTTGTGACAATTTATGTCTTATAGCAAGCATATATTTAAAGACTTAAGCATGGGTAGTACCTTAGGGAAAGCAGTAAGCCTAAGGCTGTAATACTACAACAACAAGTTAGGTTATAAATGTAAAAAAAAAAGTGTCTCTCTCTCTATGCCAATCACACACAGATGGTCTAGTTAAAAAGCATGTTACAAATCCCAATATTTATATAGATATATAATATTTGGGAGACATGTCTCACCGGTCAGAATGGACTGGTCCACCCTCAGGGTGGTTGATTTGATTGAACAGATACGGATGTCAGCAGGTACTTTATCTCCAACTGTCAAACAAATTGAAGCAAAGCACTTAGATTAAACCAAAATATATGTATAAAAAAAACATACAAAATATAAGGCACCTTTTTAAAACTGTTCCAAATAAATAATCTCAAAAGAAAAATAAATCATCAATTGTTGGAACATTTTTTAATCAGTACAAAGGCTCATTATGAAGCTGCCATCGCTGTAGGAAAAAGAGATGAAAAGCCAAAGACGTGAAGGAGGTGAAGGACTTAGGAGCCATAAAAGGCTTGTCTCAAAGGAAAAAGCCCATTTGGGTACATTGAAATGGGACTGACCCATTTCAGCTTCATGGTGGTTCATAAAGGCAAAGGAAACTAGGGAAATGGCTCAGGCTTTGACATAGTTCCGTAGGCTCTGTCTATACAGGCCTACATTGTTAAATATGCAAATAGTGTCCCCTATTGTTACAACAAAAAGTCAACTAAAGATCACAGTAACATTGGAACCATTTCCCTGCAGTATCTGCCAAACAACTCTACATCTAAAAAACATCAACAACAACCTTAATAAAAATCTAAACCTAATAAAAAGAAATCCCCAGATCCCCAGTACAGAACATTTACAGCAAATCCAACTGGGGGGCTTGGACTTGCTGTAAAGGGAGGTGGAAAAAAGTGTGGCATGGCCAACAATATATGCAGCCAAAAATGGGAAAAGCATTTCAATACATTCCCAAATACCCTGATCAAGTTTAAACATGACTGTAACATGGCAGCTGCTTCCTTATCACTGTCACCACACAGGAAGAGAACAACGGGACAGAGCCGGGATCCGAGCTCTTATGCCTCATTCATGGAGTCTGGGAACTTGAATACAAGCCACAGTTTAGTTTTGCCTTTCTAATCTCATTTAGAGTTGACACCTGTATGTTTTCACACATTTTAAAATCAGTGATCTCACCATATAATATCTATTTAACCCAACACTCTGGCATGAGAGATGTTTTGGTCTCACTATTTTACGTGCCCCTGTGAGTAGTTGGAAAATTGTCAGCTCGTTTGCAGTCCATGCTGCGTTGCCAGTAACACGGATCTGGTGGCAACCACTTGCCAATTCAGACAAACCACAACAGCTTTTCTTAGAAGGGACAATGTTCAGTTCTCAAAAAAACATCTGAACCTGGAACAGGATCTGTACTTCTGAGAAGTTCATATAAACCAGACAAGAAGAAATAAGGGGTCCAGTTTTATTCAAACAGACCGCAGAGAGCAGCTGATTTGCAGAGGGAAACCCAGTTCAAAGAAGCTAACACATCCCATTCATACAGTACAGGGATTGCCCTTTAGCTCTGCCTCTGAAAGCTAAATGCAGTGTTTCTTTGGACGCCTTAAATTTACATCCTTAAGGATTGTGTAACGTCTCTACCTTCCCCCAAGAAACACGCATGAGCTTCTAATGCTGGAGGGTCAAAGTGTCCAAGTCAATGTGCTTCATGTGTAACTCTAACAGTGAATTACGAGAATAGCTGTGAGGCTGCTAAAGTGCAAACCAGGCCGGATTTACGGTGTGTATACTATCCAACCCTTTGTGTCAACATCCTACTTTACAGCCGTCCAAGCAACTCCTCTAGGAGGACCCACTATTTAACCTCTGTGTTTGCCAATGCGAATGGCAAATTTTGGTGTCCAGAGAAGCAACAAAGACTGCCAAAGCGTCAGCTTTGACTGGCACCTGCCTCTGCCGTGTGTTAGGAAACAGCGGATGGTACGGCAGGGTCAGCCTGGTCACGGTCAGCCAGGAGGATGCATGTGCTGATGGCAGCTTAACAAAAGGCTGACCCTGTGTCATGTTGAGAGGGCCATTTCAGAACGGTCAACAGGTGAAGCAGCTTTCCAACACAGCTCTTACGGATTAACTCACCAGCTGCATTTACACACATACAGTAATGCAAATGTAACTTCACCCAAATTGACCCTTTTTTCTTGTTTCACCTTTTTGGATTTCTGCTTTCATTGTAGTTTTTTTTCTTTTCTTTTTTTTTTTACCTCTTACAGCCTAACCAACTTGCAGCACAAAAGACCCTTTGGTCTCACACCAACTGGGTACTGTCCTTGTGGACCATGTGTCCTCAGTGATCAGGTCACAAATAGAGATCACATAATTTCACAACAGGGATTAGTGTCCACTTGTTAGCAATTTCACTTCTCATTAAAAACTGAAAGGGAAACAAGGAGCGAGGGGTGAATCAGTTCATCAATCTATATTAAAAAAAAAAAACTTTTAAAATTTATTTTGTAGATCAGGATCCTGTACACAGGTTGATACAACTGGGCAGTGCATGGGATTGACTGGTGGACTGTTCAATAACAACCTGGTGACACTACAATATTGACTGAATGAATGAGCTGCAATCATCCCATCTTACTCCAATCATGATCCCAGAACCAGTCATATACAATGATTTCCAAAACCAACAGGAGTTTATCATTAAAAGATTCCCCTGTAAACAGGCCCTAGAATATTTAAAGAAAATGTATTGTTTGCTTATTCAGAAAGGGAAACTAATAACAAACAACACTAGTAAGAAGACAACCGATTTCTATTTCGAGAAACTCCCTGTTAGCAGACATTTTTAAAATCAAAGATTAAACTGCAAAACTGCAAAAGTCAAAACGTGAAACCCGACCAAGTATTTCTATCATCTGAGACAGAGAACCAGGTCTAAACAATAAAAAATGTATGTTTTAAGATCTATTTATTAGCAATCAACAAAGCAGGGAAGGACTTTGTTTCCCAGATAGATGGTTGTGCTAACTATTTCTATATGTCAGGTTGGCTTTGGGAGTCAATCCTAGCCTATGACATCATCACCTGTTGATGCCAGGTTATATAAGCACCATCTTGACACAGTTTACCTGCGTGGACTGCTTTACCTGTGTGCTGTTTAGATAATCATATCCAAACAGCAGCAGAACACTCCACAGAGTGGAGTTATGACAACAATGAGTTTTTGTTGTCATAGTAACAAATACTGTGCCAGGACCGCCCACATGAAATACCTAGGGTGAGTTTTGTTTAATACACTTGGGTAAAGATCACATAACAGAACAATTATTTGTAAAGTTAATATCAACTATAATATTTCACCACCCCACCCCTTAAAGAAGAAGCTTTTCAGCCTTTGCTGAGAAGCAGAACTGAATTTTTGTCTGTTTTTTTTTTTTGGTCTCTTACTAATCATCAAAGTATTTGGTGAATCCTTTAGTGAAACCTTGTGATCATAAAATGTCTGATATTTTTGATTATTATGTAATGTTATTTCACTATTACATCCAATGTAATAGTGTAATTGACTAGTGATTCAGATTTAGTCTGAAATGACACTGTATCATCATAAATACTGTATATAGACAAGTTATTAAATGTACAAAATTATGTGGCCTGTCTTTGGTATATTTAAGCTACGTTGTTGGTTATAATTAAAAACTCCCAGGATCTTCTGGAGGACTACATCCACTATACATGAGGAAAGGGTTGGCGAGGAAGGGTTTGCATGTCTTAATTCTGCCTCGCCTGGCAGGAACAAATCCTTTTCTCTCTGCCTTGCTGACAAATCAGGAACCTCTGCCAAAAGACAGTCACTTGGTGACAACAGACACTTGCCAGACCACATTAAATGCCACATACTGTACTATCCATGGTGTCTGGAATCTTTGTGAAGGGTGGGGGTGCTGATGGGTAGGGTCACTACAGGGTGCATTGAACATTGTGGGGTGGGACAGTTCTCCACAAAGTGCTTCCCTATAAGGTCATCTCTCTACAGCACAATGAGAGCAGATCCTCCCCT